ATATTAATACTAAAATGTTATTTGCCTCTTCTATGGTGACATTTCAACTTCTGGGTCAAAAGTATTTGTGAGTCTATAATGAGATACCTCCTTACATCCACTAGAATTGTTATAATTTTTAAAAATGGAAAATAGGGGCACCTGGCTGGCTCAGTCTGTAGAGTATCCGACTCTTGATCTCAGGGGTCATGAGTTCAAGCCCCATGTTGGGTGTAGAGATGACTTTTAAAAAAAACAACAACGATAAAAATGGAAAATGACAAATCTGATGAGGATATAAAGAAATTGGACCCCTCCATGCATTGCTGGTGGGAGTGTAGGATGGTGTAGCTGCCATGCAAAGTATATGGCAGTTCCTCAAAAAGTTAAACATAGAATTGCCATATGACTCACCAATGTTACTCCTAGATACATTCCCCAAAGAATTGAAAATAGATGTTCAGAGACACCTGGCTGGCTCAGTTGGTGGAGGGTGCAACCCTTGATCTCAAGGTCATGAGTTCGAGCCCCACAATGGGCAAAGAGATTATTTAATTTAAAAAAATGTTTAAAAAAAGTAGATGTTCAGGGGCGCCTGGGTGGCTCAGTTGTTAGGCGTCTGCCTTCGGCTCGGGACATGATCCCGGGGTTCTAGGATCGAGCCCCGCATCAGGCTTGCTGCTCCGCAGGAAGCCTGCTTCTCCCTCTCCCACTCCCCCTGCTTGTGTTCCCTCTCTCGCTGTGTATCTCTCTGTCAAATAAATAAATAAATAAATCTTAAAAAAAAAAAAAAGTAGATGTTCAAACAAAAACTATGGTTCATAGCAGAGAACAAAGGTTCATAGCAACATTATTCACAATAGGTAAAGGTGGAAACAACCCAAATGCCCATCAACGGATGAATGGATAAAAAATATGGTATACTCATACAACAGAATATTATCCAGCTATAAAAAGGAAGGATGGACTGATACCACGGTCGAACCTCAAAAATCTTATGTTAAGTGAAAGAAGCCAGACACAAAAGGTCACATATTGTATGACTCCATTTATACAAAATGTCCAGACTAGGTAAATCTATAAAGACAGAAAGCAGATGAGTGGTTGCCAGGGGCTGAGGGGAGGAGGGAGAATAACTGCTTAGTGGATAATTTTCTTTTGGGGGTAAGGAGAATGCCTGGAACTAGAGAGTGGTGGTGGTTGTATAACATTTTAAATGTACTAAATGCCACTTTAAAATGGTTAAATGGTGAATTTTATAGTTTTTTTAAATTTATATTATTTATTTTTTCAAGATTATTTATTTATTTTAGAGATAGAGAGAGTGAGAGAGAGCATAGGGGGAAAAGGCAGAGGAAAGAGAATCTCAAACAGACTCCCTACTGAGCACAGAGCTCGACTCGACTCAGGGCTCAATCCCACGACCCAGAGATCACAGCCTGAGCCAAAACCAAGGGTTGGATGCTTAACCGACTGGGCCACCCAGGTGCCACCTGTATTTTTTTTTTTTTAAAGATTTTTTTATTTATTTGACAAGGAGAGAGAGAGAGAGCACAAGCAGGGGGAGTGGCAGGCAGAGGGAAAGGGAGAAGCAGGCTTCCCACTGAGCAAGGAGCCCGATGTGGGACTCGATCCCAGGATCCTGGGATCATAACCTGAGCCAAAGGCAGACGCTTAACCAACTGAGCCACCCAGGGGCCCCTATATTTATTTATTTTTAAAGTAAACTCTACCCCTGACATGGGCGTTGAACTGACAGCCCTGAGATTAAGAGTCGTATGTTATAGGGACGGAGCCAGCCAGCCATCATGAGAATTTTATAGTTTACAAATTTTTACCACAATAAAAAAAATTGGAGTAAAAAAGTAGTCATGGGTAAAACTGCTGGTGTCTTAGCACAAATCCAGGCAGGGGTACCAAACTGTCACTGGAAGTCATTATAATTTTACTGTTGTACACTTGCAGTAAATAAATAAACACATAATTTTAAAGCCAGTTTTGCTTAAGAATGTCCCTAATGAAGCAGTAAACATTATTAACTTTATGAAAGCTTAACCATTGAGTATCCATCTTTTTCATATATAAATATAAATTTTAAAAATATAAATTATATTTATTATATTTATATATACTTACACATAATTTATATATAACAATATAAAAGAGAATTTGTATATTACCTTTCTGTATAGCTATACATATTTATATATAAATAAGTATATATTATATATAACATGTTATATATAATATAATATAATTATATATAATATATGTTATATATAATATATAATTATAACCATATATTTTTGTATACTTCTACATGTGAAAATTGTAATAAAGTAAGCACTATAAAAGCTACACAAAGAGATACACTCAAAAACACTATAGATAAATGGATAGGTAGATATAGACGTTCAATGTCATTAGTCATTAGGGAACTGCCAATTAAAACCACAACGAGAGATCACTACACACTTCTCAGAATCGCTAAAATAAAAATAGTGACAAGTAAAAGAAACCAATCTGAAAAGGCTGCATGCTATATGATTCCAACTCAATGACATTCTGGAAAAGGCAAAACTCTGGAGGCAGTAAAAAGATGAATGGTTGCCCGGAGTTAAGTGGAGGGAAGGACAAATAAGCAGAACATAGAAGGATTTTTCAGGTGGTGAAACTATTCTGTAGGATATTATAATCAGTGAATCCATGCTACTATCTATCTGTGCAAACCCATATAAGGTACCACACCAACAGTGACTCCTAATGGAAAGTATGGACTAAAGTCCACTAAAGTATGACTGAAATCCATGCTTTCGACAATGTAAGTTTGTTGACAACAATAAATTTACCACTCTCATAATGCTGACAGTGGGAGAGGCTGTGGGTATGTGGGGGGAAGGGGTATACGGGAACTCTGAACTTTCTGCTCAGTTTTGCTGTGAATCTAAAAGTACTCTAAAAAAAATAGTCTATTTAAAAAAAAAAAAAGATAGTGAAACACCAAAAGCTGGTAAAAATGCAGAGAAACTGGATTACTCATATGCTGTTGGTGGGCATGTAAAAGGGTACAGCCCCTCTGCAAATCAGTTTGGCAGTGTCTTAAAAAACTAAACATGCAATTACCATATAACCCAACAATTGCTATCCTGGGCATGTATCCCAGAGAAAGGAAGACTTACGTGTCTACAAAACCTGTACATGAATGTTTACAGCAGCTTTATTTGTAATAGCCCCAAGCTGGAAACAACCCAAATGTCCTTCAACAATGAATGGTTACACTGTGGTGAAGCCACACCATGAACACTACTTGGCAATAAAAAGCAAAAACTAGTGTATACACAACCTGGATGAATCTACAGAGAATTATGCTGAGTTGAAAAAAAAAAAAAAGCAATGCCCAAAGGTGCTATACTGCGTGGGTCTGTTAATATAACATTTTTTTAAATGACAAAATTACTGAAATAGAGAACAGATTAATGGTCGCTAGGGGTTAAACAGCAGGTAGGAACAATAGGCAAATGGAGTGGCTATTTGAAGGCAACTTGAGGGATCCTTGTGTTAATGAAAATGTTCTGTATTTTGACTGTAACACTGTCGATAACTCGGTTGTAACATTGTACTACAGCATGTGAGACGTTCCCATTGAGAGAAACTTCGAGAAGGGTACAGGGATCTCTCCCTGTTGTTTTTATTTTTTTTAACAACTACATGTGAATCTGTAATTGTCTTAAAATAAAATTTGAATTAAAAAATTGACTGAAATGAGCCTGTCACTACAAAGAAAACAGTATTTGTTGCCAATGATGAGATTTAAGCTTTCAAGCAAAAAATCCGAATTTTGGAAAATTTGCTTTTCCCACCTGAGTGTCAACTTCCCAAGACTTAAAGACTTTTTTTTATAAGATCAGTAGTGATATTAACTAATGTCATGTTTTGATACTGTATAATGAAATGTGCCACAAACTGTAAGCACTTCATAACTCAGTGAACCAGTAAAGTATTTTCTACATGATCAATACACAATATTACAAAATCATGCATAGATGATCCATTCAAAATACAAGATAGGCCAGTGGATAATACTAGACGGAGTACAAGAGATCACTGATACTGTCTCAGGTTCCAGTTATAGCTAACATTTAAGAAATTACCGTTTGTCAACTTTCAACAAACTATTCAAAAAGAATATCCACAATTACCTGAAAAGCTATTTAAATACACCTCCCCTTTCCAATTACATATCTGTGTGAGGCTAGATTTGCTTTGTATCCTTCAATGAAAATAACATATCACAACAGACCGAATGCGGACACATATGTGAGAATTCAACGGTTCTCTATTAAGCCAGACATTAGAGATTTGCAAAAAAGTGTAAAACACTACCCCTCCTTTTGCTATATTTTCTTGTTTTGAGAAAGAGTTATTTTTTCATAAAAATATTATTTACACTAACATGTAAACATTGGGTTTATTATTTATTAATGATTAAGAAATACATAGTTTTACATTTTCCTGGCTTGAATTTCTAATAACGTAAGTACTGATGAAGTGTGATATTCACAAGCAAAAGCTCTTTGGGGCCCTCGATCACTCCTGAGACTGAGAAGTTGGAGAACCATTGCTCTGGGAGTTAAAAGTTTCCTGGTCAATAGCAGGTACACGTTCAAACAAATTCTAAACCCAGCTCACTTTCTGAAGAGTCTGTGGAAGAAAACAAGAGAGTGGCCAGCTTTGGCCAGAGGAGCACTTGTTCCCGGAGAGAGAGGGAGGTGTCCTACCACCCCTCCCTACACTGGGACGGGACCACACACAAATGCTGAGATGGCATGTAGATCATTCCCACTGGGTGTTTCCAGTGGGTGCCCAGGCAATCACTTGTGAGGCCGCTGTCGTTGGCCCCCCAAGGGAAGGATCAGTAATTTGGAAAGCTATCTCTAGTTACTGTGCTCCTTCATAGAGACAATATTACAATTCTCTGGGATTCAGAATTGCTTCCCCTCCTTTAAAAACAAAACCACAAACATTTCACCAATTAGATGTTCACCAAAAATAATGATTTATAGTATATCCAGCTATTTACAGAGAAGATCCATTTATAGAAGAACAAGGCAGTTGGAATGGATTCTAGGTGAAATCCATGATGAAGAATCCTTTTTCATTCCATTTGCTGGCCATATTGTTGAGTTAATCTTCAAAATGCATGCTGCTAAAAGGGGAAAGAACAATTGATGGCTTAATTTCTAAATTTAAAAACTGTCATTTCAATGAATCACAGTGAAGCAGTCTCATTTTTATTTTTTTTATTTTATTTTTTTAAAAGATTTTATTTATTTATTTGAGACAGAGAGAATGAGAGAGACAGAGAGCACATGAGAGGGGGGAGGGTCAGAGGGAGAAGCAGGCTCCCCGCCGAGCAGGGAGCCCAATGCAGGACTCGATCCCGGGACTCCAGGATCATGACCTGAGCCGAAGGCAGTCGCTTAACCAACTGAGCCACCCAGGCACCCGCAGTCTCATTTTTAAATGAAGTGCCATCAACAGGCTCCTGGCATCCCTCCCAGCTGGTGGGCTCCCCCAGCCGGGTCTCCAGGAAGATGCACTGGCCCGTCCGGCTAGCGGAATTCAGATGCTAAACCATTAGGACGAACACACACTGTAGCCTCAGAAAGAAGAGCATTCTGATTTAAGACCTAAACTAGATCTGGACGTTCCGTTATCAGTGAATTAACTGTAGAAATGTCTAGATTGGGGAAAATGTAAGTTGATTTCTTGCTCTTGGGAATATGGTGCTTAGGGGTGTGTGTGTGTGTGTGTGTGTTTACTTAACGGCCCTACCGTGTCCCTGATACTTTGATAATTCTCCCCTTTCTTGATTTAACTTCCTTCTTTCTCTCTCTTCTCTTTATCATTTTCTTTAACTCCTTCCAATATTTGCTTCGTAAGTCAGCCCTTTTAATAACGCCTATATTTTCCAATTTCCAGAAGAATAACTGGCAGTCCTTTCTACTAGCTAATGTGTCCTCTCTTCCCTAACCACTACTCCAAACCTCAAGTGCATCCCTCCTGGCCCAGGGCACCATGCCTGCAGGTACAGCTTTCATCAGGTTGGCCTACAAGGTCACTGGCCGATCTGTCCCTTTTATTTTGAGTCATAAAGTAAGCCGGAAATACTTGTTTGTTTTTTAAACCACAACAAAACACCTGTATACATTTTAAGTACTTTTCTAATAAGCTTGGGAAGTAACTGAGCCATTGCTTTATGATTAGCTGTAAACACTTCCTGCTGTTGAGGAAATGGGACAGCAGTGTATGGGAATAAAACTATTTGCTTTCTGTTCATTATCATTGTCCATCTTTTGACTAACTTTGCGAACAAATTTAGTGTCTAGTACCAGTTTGTCCACTTCAAAAAATCATAACTGTAAAATATAGTATGTCTTGAATAGCCATTTTTCTTCAGAAAATATGCTCTCGATTTAGCTAATTGCAGTATTTCTAGTTTCAGAGATACCCTCATTGGGCACATTTTTTTTTTTAGTGTTGCCAGTAATTTTCAGAGACTCTGTTTTGAATGAAATAGAACTGGAAGAATTTTATAGCTTCACTTTTAAACAATGTTCAGACTTGACGCCATTTTCCTTGCGCTCTTTTGTGTGTGAGACTAGGGGTCTGTGTACTCTACTACTGCATAAGTAGTGGGTGCTGGGGCTACTGCTTAGTCCTGCCCTTCAAAAGGAAGGCTTTCGTGCAGGACATGCCCTTGCCACAAGGGGCCCTGCCTCCCCCAATTGTCCACTTCCTCCCAGGGGGCAACTCCAATCCAATGGCTATTGATGTGGGGAGTACATTGGCTTGGCCCTCTTGCCTAAATTCAGGGCACTATCCCAGCTCCGTAGCAGGGCCTAGGCCTCTGCTGCAATCCCATCCCTGTGTTCCGTGTACCTTCACCCTCTGCCCTGTCCAGCTTCCCTTACTCCGTTCTCCACGCTCCCAGGAACACTCTCTCCAGGGAAGTCAATCTGAGACAGGGTAGTTTCAAGAGTCTATTGCCATTTCAGAGACCCTCTGAGGCAAGACTTTAAACCCTCTACTTGAAAATCTTGCCTGAGTGTTAGTTACTGCACATGGAGCCAGATGGATTGGAAATGGAAAAGCCTCAAACAGGCCGGCACCCCCTTCCTACAAGCCTGAGCTCAACCCACACCCAAAAGACCTTCAGAGCAAAAACGCTTACAGTTCACCTGTCCCGTCTACCAGGAAGGTTGGGACTTAGAGGCAAAATCAGTTTTGTCTTTCAGAAGGGTCACAGACCCTCACCCTAGAAAAAAGATACAACCATACGCAGTTTTGCATACAATTCCAGAAGGATATGAACTCCTTCCGAAAAGTCCTCATGGGCTCCAATTTAAGAACTGTTGACCTATTGTGAAGGTAACAGGAACTCATGGTTTCAAACCTGTTATCCAGCATAGAAAATAAAGAGATTCTTTTTTAAGTATATAAGAAAGTCCTAATTCTTCTTCATATGATTTCATCAATAGGTTTTGAATTACCAAATATGAGACTCAACTTACATTTTCCAGAGTCATAGCTGCCGTATTTGAACTTATCCTTCTACGATATTTCTTCCTGATACAACAGACACTGATGAGGGTGACTATCAGCATCAGGGCAAACATGGCAGCGGTGGAAGATGCAGCGATGACAATGGTGTCCCGGGTAGAGCCTCTCCTCTCACACCTCTCCCCCATGTACCACCAGTCTTCCCCTGACTGACACCTGCACGTTGGAATGGGACCCAGAGTTACAAGTTGACATTTCAGTCTGAAAATCTTCACCATTGAAGGTGTGGGTCAACGTTCTGGCCGTCGACATGTGGAACTCAACCAGAGGAGGCCAGGCAAGGCCAATGGAAAAGAAATGGAATTACTATTCATCTGGTACTCAAAACAGTGGCCCCAAGGTGGGAAAGGAAGGTGGTGCAGATAATGGAGAAAATTTAGTTCTCATGTCTCTGTCCCTCCACCTCCCCACTGTACCCCTTGGCCAAGCTCATCCCAGAATGTCTGAGAACTATGTCTATCTAGAAAATGGGGACGGTTCCACTTCACCACACCGGACTGTTGTGAGGACTTCATAAGACATATAACTCATAAGGACTTTTTCAGGCAATTACAATATAATGTACTATTTCTTCATAAATAATTTTACTGTTCTTGTAGCTATCCAAAGTCCTAAATGGAGAGCAAAAAGTAAATATCCCATGGATGGCTATGAGATGAGAACCAACTGACCATTCATGTAAGATGTCAGTGTTTGACCCTACAGTGTGGAAAGGATAAACTTTCTAACAAGAGGATGGGGAGATCTCATCCAAGTGACCCCTTACCTGCACTCGGCTTTCCCATTTTGGACAATGCAAATGCCATCGTTCTCACATTTAAAGTTTGTGCAAAGGTCCTTCACAGTAGAGGTTGGGGTTGGCTGAACTGGTGTAGAATTAAGGTGGGATATGTCTAAGGAGGGCAGAGGGAGAGTATGGGTGAAAATCAGTTTGACTTTAACAAGCATTTGATCTTTAAGTTTCAAAATGGATGCTTAGGTTTCACAGGCAGTGAAATAATTAAAATCGAAATCTAGATGCAAACTGAAGCTGTGGGGCTGTCAACTGAACCACATGCTTACCTGGGCCTGGGCCTGGGCTTGCCTGAGCTACAAGGGGCCCAAGCCCTTATAACCCACTCTCGAGGGACAGACGCGGAGACCAAAGCACAGCAATGCAAGGCAGTTGAGGGGTTTGCCCAAGGTCACAGGTCTCTTGCTAGAGGGGAGCAAACTGGGGGATATCTGACACAAGCCGCCAGGTCCCCTGAACAACCGGGGCTCTCTTCTTTGCAGTGCTTCCTGTTGCTTGTCCTCCAAACAGGGTTGAACTGAATTGATGAACCTGACTTTTTCTCTGCTACAGAAGATGATTTTTCCCTCGACACAGTTATTCTTGAACATTTTTTTCCAAGAAGTATCATCTAGATTTACTCTAATTGACACTGACATAAAAATTTCATGGGTTTTAATTGCACCACCTTTCATCACAAACAAGATGCTGATTTACTGAGATGCGAGGGGGTCTTTAATAGTAAATGAGTTAAAATGGTGCCACATAAAACATGGAAACCAGCAGTATTCCTGGAAAATGTATTTATTAGGTGCCATGGGTAAGAGATTTTAAAAGGCAATAGATTAATGCTACCAGTGACAAAACATATGTGTGGGCGCTTACATAGGATACATAAAAAATATACATGCATCCTTGTATGCTCATATGTATATGTATGCATGTCTATATATTTGAAAAACACAATAAAGACAGTTCATTTCCAGTTTAATTTCATGTGCTGTGTAATATTTCTATTTCTGGAACCCCAGAGTATAATCCTAGGGTATGAGAGCTATACTTTCACTTGTTTCTAAAGATTTCTGGCCTAAGTTTTCCATGGCTCCATGTGGTGGTAATTAAGTTTTTTATCCAGGAATGGTCATTGTTTTTATTTAAGTTATTTTCATATTGTTAACGATTCATACCAAAAAAAAAAAAAAAAAAAAATCCCACTCTCATGCCCATTTGCTGCTATACCTAAAAATGGAACCCAGAAGAACACAGTAAATAATCAATGGCCACGACAACAACAAAAATAGCTTATATAAAATTATTTTTACTGACATACCTTCCACTGTCAGTAGGATATAAACATCATCTCCTTTTATAAAATCTCTGCTTTTCAGCCTCTTGTGGGTTATAAAGGCACTGGTTCCAGAGCCTTGACCTCTTCTAAACTGAGTTCCATTAGGGAAAAAAGCCACTTCTCCCACTTTGGAAGGCCTGTCCCAAAAATAGTTTCCATTATCTGAAAAAGCAATTTATATTAATGGATTGTGTTTAGCATCATCATAGCTTTTGGTGGTAGGAAAGAACAGGCAATGTGAAACACAATTAGGATAGAGCTCAAAATAATTAAATGATGCCATTGACCTGTGATGTGTTCCCTGGAAAGTCACTGAAGCTTGTTCATTGATACTGTTCTAAAGAAAATGAGATTGCCTAGCAAGGAAGACCACATTCTGGGATTGGTGTGGACGCATACCAAAGGTTTCCCGGGTGGCGTATGACACCTATATTGACCGGCCAGTATAGAAACTCCCCTGCGCATTAAAATCATTCCTTAGTTGCCCTGAGTCATAGATAGTCCTTTTAACCGAGTTAAATCAATACGTTTCTGAGACTTTTTTTAAGTTTTATTTTTTAAGTAATCTCTACAACATGGGGAATCAAACTCACGACTCCGAGATCAAGAGTCACGTGCTCTCCCGACTGAGCCAGCCAGGCGCCCTGAGAGAGTTTTTGATATTAACATAGAACAGTTCATCTCATTAGCTGAATTACTCACCTACCAGAGCAAAATCCTTCAGGAAAAGAAGACAGTGAGAAGTACTGCTTCTGGGAGAAGGTGATGACCCACCCAACTTTGAGCCATTTTCAATGGCTCATTCAGGGAAATATGTTTTGGGGAAAAAGTGAAGAAATTCTGAACATCGAGTCCCTATAATCCTGTTTGTGACTATTTCTTTTTTCCTATCAGATTAGTGGTTTCTTTTTTCCTATGTCACTGAGGTCCATTTTTTTCAAATATAGAATTCAAATTTGGCAATAATATTCACCTTGCCACAATTTCACTTTTTATTAGGTTCCCAGAGGGCAAAGGATTATTAAAATTAGAAATGTGATCATTTTGGGGGGAGGAGGAGCTGTTCCTTTTTGAGACTGGGAAGATGGGGAATGATGTCACCATTGGCAAGTCCTCCAGAACTCTTTAATAAGAAGTTATAGTCCCTTCTCAGAGCCTTCCCAACACTCCAGAGCACCCGCTCAACGTCTTCCTTCTCATCAGGAACCATCCCCTTCTACAAGAGCTGAATTGTGCTTGACAGCCCTGGTGGCAAGGGGGTGCTTATTATTACTGCCTCAGTCTTATGGCTGAGGACACTGGGGCTCCAAAAGACTATTTGCTCAGTATCACATAGCTAATGAGGAGCAAACTTTGGATTAGAACCCAGGCATGCCAGACTCTAAAACCAACACTCCTTGAACAACTGGGAACTCAGGTATGGTCAATTGCCAGGAATAACATCAGTATCTTCTCTATTTTTCAGAGACATTCCCAACTCACATCCTGACAGTGTCCTGCCTGGGGGACTCTACCCACAACTGCTGAAGCCCTTCCCCTCAATATCTTCTGTTCCTAAAATTTGGGGCTCAATACTCCCTAGGTACCTGACCATGCAGTCTCTCATTCCCAAATCATCCATCCCTCCCAGAGCAATGATCATGTATTAACAATAAAGAAAATGAGTCACCAACCGGTGGTCATAAATGGGTCTGTAGTTACACTCCGCTGGTTGGACATACGCTGTCGAATGTCAGGATTTTGATCCAAGAGTGTCATCGTGGCTTGTTGCCAAGGACATGGCCATTGTAATTGATCATCATTGGCTCCAGAGATCAAGTGGAAATATATTCCTGCATTAGTCGAATGGCTTAGATTCAAGTGAATCTGAAAGGCATAACCTTTAGGAGAATAAAATGGAGGGCTATAGAGAGTTCCACTTGAGCTGCCAATAAACTGTGTGAAATTCGTTATATGCCAGATATGATGAGGGCACTGTGTTTCTGAAAGATTGATGTCATCAATAGACAGGCCACCCAATGATGCACCAGCGCCTCTGACCCCTCCAAACACCACTCTGAATTTCTTGGTCATTTTCAATGTTACATGGTAAAGTTGCCAGCTTCCAATGGGTATCTCTGCAAAAGAGACATTATTATCCCAAAGCAAAGGACTGAGAATCATGTGCAAATCAACATTAGAGTTTTTAACCTTCATAGGCCAAATGATCATCCTAGAGCTATTGATGCCTACAGGTCTGCAGTATGATCTTCTTACCTCTCCCGCCCAGGCCCATTCCCTTCAAGGGAGTTCTGTGGTGTCAAACTGCTCTCTGGAATATCTGGATGCTTATCTACTTGTTTCTCAGATAGGTCACCCTTTCCCAGTGAAGGCTGACCAAACAACCACACCTAACTTAGGAGTACTCCATGCCCTATATATGAGTTACCTCCCATTCTATGTTAGCTAAACCCAACATCTACAGTTGTACCCAGGATTCCTGTGAGGTTCCGCCAAGGCCTCATTTATAGTTTGATTGAAATACTTCCTTCACATGCAAAATTTTCCATCAGCGTTTTGGTAGTATTAAACAAGAATCTGCCGAACCCCAGAAAGCCCACATTTACCATTTACTCCTTAGATCATTTACTAGTGACTCAGTGTTATAAATATGTGAATATCTGATACCATCATCTTCCTCCCCATCCTACACTTCCCCTTTCACTATCACCTCCTACCCCTAACTAGCAGCACAGACTATGCTATCTTGTCTTATTTTCTTATATCACACACCCAAATAAGAAGCAGCAATACAGGGCGTCTGGGTGGCTCAGTTGGTTAAGCGACTGCCTTCGGCTCAGGTCATGATCCTGGAGTCCCGGGATCGAGTCCCACATCAGGCTCCCTG